ATATGATAACCATCTGTAGACATAATCGTGAGTGTGTGGGTGTTCAGTCTAATATTCTTTTATCTCTTATCATATGGAGATCAGCTGTTGAACAAATATGCCATTGTTAAAGGCAGGGTTAGATGCAAATGTGTGCCCGCATGCTTGAGTGTCTGTGTATGTGAGGTAGTACTTTACTCGTTCAGGGCCTCATCTGTTCCTAATACTGTGGAGGATCACATGCGTTTTCAGATGAGAAATCCTGAGCTTGTTATTAAATGTCATAGGCCGATCTTCTAGAAGAACCAACAATGCTCTCATGGCTTCCCAAATATGAACATGTGCAGATGCACAGCCTAGACACATTAATAATTTATTGTTGAAAGAAAGAAAATTAGAATTAGATATGTTTATTATTTGAGTAAACTAACCTGGTGATGCAACGCATGATAGCAGCATTTCATGCATATAAATAGAGTGTATAGGCAGCAAATTAGGTCACAGGCAATTATATATAAGTAATGAACCAAGGTTTTGATAAATGTATTGATTGATTGACTGATTGATTGATTTTATTTATCTCACGGTGGAGAAATGTACTCGTTACATCAGCTCAAATAGTCAAGAACAAGAATGTGCCAAAGGAAGAAAAAGATGCATGGTATATACACAGTATATACAGTGCATCCACATATGACAGCTTTTTTTTATAATTTTTTTTTATATAGTAGGATCATTATACAGGTTTATTGCACATGGTGTTTACATGAGTATTTATATAGACGGGTATTTATATTTATAGTTATTGCACTGGGTGTCAAATATAGAAAAACAGGTTTATATACAGGGTATCAAATAGTACATTTCAGATTATACATTGCATTAGGCAAGTTTTACTTATGTTATGTCAGTTAGTATTAGACCTGTTATACGCCATTTGGATTGTGTAGAGATAGAAATAAAATCCTAATGTTAGCATTCACGGTAGGAAGCCAGGAGCAGAAACAGCTGATCAGTTATGTGAAGTAAATGTTTGTATGCTGTATTTCAAAATGTGCATTTAAAAAAATTGATGGAAACATGTCTATTAAATGCTATGATGACCATGCTATAAGGGAAATAAAAATCCATCCATCCATCAATCCATCCATCCATCCATCCATCCATCCATCCATCCATCCATCCATCCATCCATCCATCCATCCATCCATCCATCCACAAAGAATAGCACTGTCCATCCCTTATAGAAAACCATGAAGAGGCCCTGTAATGTCCCACGTAGGTGTCCTTCAACATGCCAAATGGTCCCTCCTCCCCCATTGGTCCCCTCCTCACAGCTCTCCATGTGTCCATTCATCTGCCTGCAGGGGAGAACAGCAAAGCCAAAACACATCCCTGTGGGATGGGGGGGGGGAGTAGCGACAGGCGGGGGGGCTCACAACTAGTCATGCACATGAATTCCTCTGTTGTGCTGGCACAGCTTGGTGCATCCAACCAAGTGAAAAGACAATCAGTCTATTAAATGCTTCAGTTTGTGTTCTTTAAAGAGAAGACCATTGTTGCTAATAGTAGCTCTGACAGCATTAATCATGTTTTTGTCTTAAAGTATTTCTATTTTTAATTATTGTGCATGTTATTTCTTTTTCAGTTCCTTAATTTGGTTCACCCAATATTATGTTGCGGATCTCCACCTGTGTGGCATCAAACAATATAAAAGGTTTCCAGAATCTAAAGCACAAACTCCATTATCTTGACCCGACTTGCTGTGTTAGAATGAGCACAGCAAGTTAAAAGATATGGGTGCAAAATAAACTTTGCAGGATTTGTTAAGATATTTAGCTGGCTATGGTTTAAAGAGGCATTTCTAAGCCAAAAAAATTTGGAGACATATAGCAATTACGTTTTTCTCTGAATTGTGAAAGGGAGTCAAATGTCAGCCAATAGTCCCAAAAAGACAGCTGAGCAGACAACAGCATTTAAGGAAGGCAAGGCAGGAGTGAAGGCAGTCAGGGCCAAGGACAGGCAGTAACACAACCAGCAAGACAGTCAGTTTTAGAATAAACACACAGCTCTCTCAACATCGCCCGGGAAGAAATTCTTTCCTTTGATGTCAACCCATGCGACCTTGCAGCAGTCTGAAGAACTGAAACCCTGTCTAAACAAACGTCAACACTGCTAACACATGTTTCATTCAAACATTCTAGTGTGCATGTATGAACACCTTCAGGACTGAGAGGGAACAACAGTGATGTATACAGGTAAATGAGAAAAACACTTGCAGAACAGTGATAAATAATAATGCAATTAATAACTTATAAGTTTGTAAAAGCAAAGACTTTACTTTGGCTTTGCCTTAGCTTTTAATGCAGCATTATGTGTAAGCTTGCTTTAACATCCCTGCTTTCTGTTTTCACCCAGCAGAGTAAAATGATTTGACCTGAAAAACCATGTTACACTATGAATGCAGTTCCCTGCTGGGAAACAGCGGCCAATAATAAAGTGAATGCAGAAGTCAGCTGTAACCCAAGCAGGGGCAATAACCAAGACCACGTCTACAAGTGTTAGAACACTACATCCCTGGGCCCTGCTGAATGACAAATATATTAAAAATGTACTTCCAGTAACTACTACAACAATACAAAATGGTAACCACTACTTATATATTTTGTTGTTTGTCTCCCTTGAAGGTATAAAGAACAATAAGAACAATTGAGCCTTAGAGCATCCACTGCAGGTTTGAAACTCAAGCTGAAATTATTGATAAACTCATAGGAAGGTATACTGACTTTGTTAATTATCTCTTTATTGTTTTATTATATACTCTTAATTCTGTCTTAAGTGTCCTCTTTTTGCTGAGCAGATAAACACCCCGGACAATTTCTTTGTATGTTTGCCTGTTTAATTTCTTAAGATGTAGGGTTCAGGCTTTGGGAAAACATTCAGTGATTGACGTTATTTTAAGAAGTTTAACTAAAACATGAATTTCATATGTAAAAACAACCTATTTCATCTCAGTGTCATGGTTTTGGTGCTGATGGTTGGCTTTTTCCACCTGCCCCTGTTCACCTGTCTAATTGGCCTAATGTGTCTAAACGAGTGTCTAATTCTGACACTAAGGCTATACAGTGTATCAAAATAATTTAAAAGCCCTATTGGGCTGAATACAATCTTCCTTCTATAGCGATGCTCAGATAAATTAATGCTGCACATAATTAAGAAGTGTTGACAACATACAAAAATAATATTGTTATTCGATAAGAGCTCTGTACAATCAAAACTTTGCTTAAAATTTCTCATTTTAGTAGCCTGAAATTTATTAGTTAGTTTCAAAAGTTAGAAAAAGTATGTGATTGCCATTACTCCCCTGGAGCATCCTTAACAGGCCTGCTCAAAAACTGGAATTTATTCCCATATAATCTAAGCATTAAACTGCTACAATTATTATAAAAACAAGGCTTTTATTTTTAAGGTAACAGGTTTCATTTACTAAATAACTTATTTAGTAAGTTGTTTAGTACCTTCCTTGGTGCTTATTTAAGAGCCTTCTGGCAGCTTGCCATTATACAAAGGTTTTGCACCTCGAATATTTGAAGTTGATATGGCTCTTGACAGCAGTCACAATTGCTTATGTGGGCCTATGAGAAAAAACACAGTTAACAATTTATTTTCTTTAAGTAATTAAGGCAATTTTTGCATACAGATCAGTTAAACATAACATTTTTGTCCATTTGGGTCACAGCAGTATTTAAGCAGCAGGAGTCCTTTGTGTGAAATGTTTTAGAAAAAACACTAGATGGCTTTAAATTTTTTTTTTGTCTATGAGCTTACATCATTACACTGGTCCTTCTCCTCACTCTAGAGATGTGAGGATTTGGTGGTACCTCCTTGTAAATCTACCAAAACAGAAACCACCAATGCTGCACAGTGGGCAGTGACAGACAGAGGTCTGTGCTGGAGGTAAGGGAGGACAGTCTAACTTTTTCTAAAACTACTTAAAAAGCTCCTGAGAGTATTCTTACTTCTATCTTTGTAATCATTATTTTCTCTGTTTTCCAATTTAACTGACAGAAGCTTCTTTAACAACCAGTCCCTGATTTGTTGCCGTGTCGAGTTTTCATGGGAAAATTCACCTTTTTCAACTTCAGCGATCGCACTCTTCTCTCTTTTTGCAGTGCCACTGTTTGACGACACTCTATTCCTGTGTAGCCGCACAAAGTGAACAGCATGATTGCAAAAATTTTAGAGAAGTCCTGCCATTTACCTGTATCAAAAGTCTAAAGATTCACACATCAGCAGTCTTCCAAAATAGCTTTAACCTTGCACCAATCTTTTTTTTTTTTTTATACCAATACCTGGGCTCAGCGTATCAGCATATCCAAAATTGATGTGAATCAACTGATGAATGAACTATATATATTTTTATGTGATTCAATGCTTTAGCCTTGACATAAATGCTGTTAAACAAAGGTAACACAGATATAACTGTACTTTATATAATATCTTAACAATATCACATCCAGGTTTTGAATCAGTGCACATCTAGTTATTGCAACATCAAAACACTTGCTATAGCCTTATAATCTAGAAATAGTCATTCATTACTTTTCTAATTTCATGATACAATTACTGTAACTCTACACAGCTGTATACTGTATTTCATTGTCCCAATTATCAATCCTGCAGCTTGTCAACATGCAAAACTCCTGAGTGTCACAAAAAAAAAAAGAAAATTATTCTGTGGCCTTACTTTTTGCAGTGCCTTACCACTGATCTACTGATAACTTTTAAGATGCTTAAATGAACATGTAGTTTCAATTTAAACAGACAGCATTCATTTCAAAGCAGTTTTCCAACATTACATCTTTTACGTTTAGCAAGTTTTGATTTTCAGTTTCGGTATTTCACTTCCTGATGGTTGATTTTAACTTACCATCTACTTTTCCAATTTGTTTTGCATTTGTATTGTATTTAAATACTTTTAAATGGTTAAGATTTACCCACACAACAAATATTGTTCTTACCTAGAGGTGTTATGTTGCTTTTAACTTTTACAGGAGAGTTTGGTCAAACAGCTTTACTGCACCTGCACAAAATGTTAAACATACAAAATATTTTTTAGAAAATACACAACGGTCATCATATGAATGTTTATGTGTAGTTAGATTAGCTTTGATGGAGTCATTACTTAAAAAAAAACTAAAAAAACACAAGCAGGTTCTATGGTAACATGTAAGGTAATTGTATCAAGTAAATACATAATAAGGTTTTGTTTTATTGTTGTTGTTTTTTTAAGTGAAACTGACTCATATTTAAAAACAAAACCTGTCCCAAAACAAGTTTTGAGAAATACCCCCAAAAAAACCATGTCAGAGCCAAGAGACTCTGAAAGGTAAGATGAAGTGATGAGCAGTGGGAGATTTGCAGGGTTGTGGTCAGGGCGTGACAAGTAGCTTAGCATAGCATCATTGAAGAATGGACAGTAAACAGAGGGGAACTGATGTTTATGCAACAGATACATATTTAGGGACGCCCCCTGATCTCTGGTCAGGGGGTGTCCATAGAGAGAGAAGTGCATAGAGAGAGAAGATTAGGTTGAGGGAGGCTTATGGAGCCCAATGGGCCATAGCACTTTCATTTGAGCCACTTGTTTCAAAATGCAGAGGAGGAGAAAAGGACAACTCCATATGAATGATAATAATACGCCTGAGTAATCTCTTGTATCAATAAGATAAATCAAATGCAATAGCTATTGTTCAACTAATTAAAGCAGCGTTGAAGGTTTTGAGTCCATCGCAATCGCAAAAACTAAAAATGTCCAAATATAGGTGTCAAAGAAGGCACAGTAACATTAAAATAGTACCCTTTAGAACCAGCTTTTACAGATTAAATGGGAAAAATAATTTTTGAAATGAGTTAAACTTTAAATCATGTAAAAACTAGAATCAAAACTCCCTCCCTTTACTGTTGCCACTCAATCCTTTTCCAAGGACACAGAGGAGCTGTTCTCTACCCAGCTTTCAACAGATAACACTCTGCACATCTCAAGGCAAATACGTAACAAGGCCTATTTTTTTAACCACTTTTGGAGTAAAATGTAACACACTTAGAAAAAAATACTTGCAGTGCGTTGGATTCCAGATTTATAAGAAGGAACGAAGGGAGTGAAAGGTCAGGTCTTACAGATTCCCACCTGTGGAGTTGGAAAATTTAACTAAACTAAATATTTCTAAGATAAACATAACTCTCAGGGCGGGTCCATTTTTAGATCTCTAAATAGACACTATTTTCGAAAAAAAACGTAATTCAGACTGGATTCATTTAGCAAAGCATTGCATTTTATTGCCAACCTATAAAACACCCCACAGTGTATGTGTTTGTGGGTGTGAGAGAGAGTTGGGTGTCTGTCTGTGGTCGTTACACGTAATACCCTAGAGTCAGAACCATAGTCTGACAGAGAGGTTAATTCCCGTTAGTTGTTAACATGAGCAGATTTGACATAAATCAAAGCATCTACCCACTTTAGTATATCGGTGAAACCACTTCGAGTTAATGGGAAAATAGAAAGACCATACATTTACCTTTGTAAAAGTGTCATCCAGTTAACGACAAAGAAAACGACACAAGTATTTTTTGCGGGGTAAAAAACGTCCAGAATAATGATTCTTTCAGCTTTCAGAGTTGCAATGAAATCTAATCCTGACAGTTAAAAAGTTACAATGCTTTATTATTCCCCATAATTTACAAGCAGTTTGTGCAGGCTGAGAAAACTATATTTTTTTCCACACTTTCTGAAAAAAAAAAAAGCTTTAGTTCAATGTCAATCTTATCTTATAACAGCTGACAATAATCAAATTTACTTCAACAAAAAAGGGAGATTTATTGAACAAGATTCATTACTCATCTTGGCAACAGCTCTGCTACAAGGACAGAAAGCTTTTGTTTAAAAGATGGTGACCTCAGACTGTATATCACCTTAGGCTAATCTAAAACTGAAATTGCAGAAATCAGTATCAAGGAAAACGTCTGAATGAGTTGGACCAGGTACTCCTACCAGGTCCTCCATTACATAGAAGTGAACAAGTCAATCTTTGTTTTTACTAAAAGTTCTTAAACAAAGTAACTCTATCTGTTTCTGGTTGACCTGACCTAGCCAGCAAAGAAAAATAAAGTATACCATGAACCCAACATTTCTGCTTTCTTGCTAACAGCATTCCTGAAAGATAAAACTACAAATGAGGCCCACTTACAAAACTTTGACTTAAATCATAAAGAGTTGATATAGATGTCAATCTTTTGGAAAGAGTATGTATGCCACCAAATCTGTTGGACAGCTTTGTTTGATATGACAGCAGAAATGACACAGTGGGTGTCAGTTTACATTGTGGCCTTCAGGTATCAAAGGTAGGCGTGTCATGGCTTTGCGCCAAACAGTTGGCTCTTTCAGAAAGGATCATCGAGACAGATTACTAACTAAATACCTTCTTTCACTTAGCTACTACAAACTGCCAACTTGCTTTCAGCTTTACAATAGACAACAAAAATAAAGACAGATTGGATAACTCGGGGAAATTTGACAGCCATCTATACAAACTCAAGATTCAAGATTTCTTTGTCTCCCTTGGTGGGGTATTCTTTTTAGGCAGGGGAATGTTGCTTTAACAATTCCATAAAAAATGCCCAAGAAAAACGTTAAAGATGCTCAATTAATATCATATTTACCACAGAAAAAAACTAGTTACCTCATACAATTTAAATAAACAGCCATCACATCAGCATCCAGTCATTTCCACATTCTACTGAGTCACATGGTCACTTTTATTAAAAATAAAAAATCAACAGGGCATCAGGGGCCTCCTGAATTCAACCACATATTTCTTTCCTATATATCTTTTCCTAAATCCTTAAATGAGTTTACATGATGAATTAATCAATTCTTATACTGGTTGTGTTTTCAGGGTAAAACTCTGTTCCATCTTTCTGATTTTAATAGAATGTATTTATGGTTCCAAATGTGTGGAATCTAAAATCATATCTGCTTGACTGAAAAGGTCCTGAAGTGGCTCGAGAGCCTGTGTGCCAACGATTGTACCTGTGGTGTTAACCAGACTGCTGATCTGACTGTTTGATGTCACTTTTATATTAACAAACTATATCATATCGAGAAGCATAAACTACGTGCTTTGAACAGGATTATGCTGCATTTAAATAGTTTTACCATAAATCTTTTTTTACATTGTAATTGTTTCTCACTTGCGCTGTGGCCAGCTCCTAGCTTCATGTTAGGGTTTGTAAGCTTTAGATTTTCTAATATTCTCATTACAGGTTTATGAGAATGTCTTGTTTTGGGTTTGTTTAAAAAGAAAAACAGTTTAAACAGAATGGTGTATTGGAAAGTTTCCTTTCTGTCCTAACCTCTCACATTGCTTCAAGAGTATGGTATGGTATGGTATGGTAAAAATGACTTTCTAAAAAACTGAAAGGATGGAGCTACTAAGGTGGCCAAGGGCTGGAAATACAAAATACGGCAATGACAAAATACAAAAATCAGACTATAACACACTAAACACACACAAAGGTAAAATACTTCAAGAACTAAGCTAAAAGTACAGTGGCTATTGGCTTAGATTCCAGGGTGAACACTGAATGTATTGGTTGTCCAACATGTCAGTCATAGCGATGCTCATTAGTTCTTTCTGCACATAATTTTGAGAGAGAATGTTTACATTTCTGTTTGCTCTATTATTTACCTCTTACAACCAGTTCCCACCAACTTATGCAACATATGTGCATGTAAACAATATTGAGTATTACTTTCTTTAAGCAGACACATCAATGCTGTTAAAAGTCTTATTATAAATATTATTGACTTTAATATAAGTAGTTTATCTCTTAAGACTGATCCCCTTGGCTCACCTATAATATACCTTATGTAATTAAGAGATCTGGCTTAATGAAAATATATCTGATGATGATGTAAAACTTGAAAATTATGTTTTATGCAGAGCTGACCTGAATTCAATGGGTGGAGGAGTTGCTACATACATTTCTATAAACTTGTTTTCAGTGCATGTTACAGCAAAAGTGAATTGTCTGAAATTTGAGTATTTTTCTTCAAATTATTTTCATAGAAATATACATTATCCATTGGAAATAATTATAGACCACCAAATGACCTGGTTGACTCCACCAGCTTCATGTTGTCAACCATTAAATCTATAGATTATGTCACAGAAACCAGTATCTTCTGGGATTTGAATTATAATTGGTTAGATCTCTTATGGCAAATATGTGGCATTGAGTTGTAGGCTTTCTTGTATATATATATATATATATATATATATATATATAGAGAGAGAGAGAGAGAGAGAGAAAACCTGTAAGCTCAAGGGATCAGTGGTACGCATAATGCTGATACATCAGGCATCTCGGTCCAGGAGAGTGCAGTTCTAGAAACAGCCAAGATAAGCTTCCAGGCTTCGGTGAGGAAGAGTTTTTTTTATACATATTGTATATATATTTATATATAGATATATACACTACCGTTCAAAAGTTTGGGGTCACACTGAAATGTCCTTATTTTTTAAGGAAAAGCACTGTATTTTTCAATGAAGATAACTTTAAACTAGTCTTAACTTTAAAGAAATACACTCTATACATTGCTAATGGGGTAAATGACTATTCTAGCTGCAAATGTCTGGTTTTTGGTGCAATATCTACATAGGTGTATAGAGGCC